GAGTTACCAGATAGAGGCGTTGACCTTTGGATATCAAAGCGCCTGCCCCCCCCGGGGAACAGAGCTCGCGGCCTGGTTCCAAAGCCACACGCGTCTGTCAGTCTGTCACGTGAGCTTAAGCTGTCGGGGTGCCTGTGCTTGTACCTTCTTCCCAGACCCCCAGCCACTAGAGGAAGAGACCACTGCAATCACATCAACATTTCAGCAGCCGAGATGCCATCTATCCAGTGCTGCCAAGCCAGTACCTCACCAGGGCCTCGCCGGCCAGTGCTTAGCCCTGCCCCGAGTGGGCAGCAGCAGTCCCCATATCATGCAGGTTATGACGGAGTTGACGAGTGTTACTCACAGGAAATGGTTTGCCTCAGATCCTTAGAGAAAGAAACCCCTTGACAGGAAATATTTGAGGTTGCAGGGGGTTGCTCTCCATGGTGATTTCTGTGGGTTGATGGTGCGTTGGATGGGCTGACATGCCATTGCATGGCTGCAGCATTGTGGAGTGGCGATGCGAACATCACGACTTCCGGTGCCTTTGTCCCAGAGGACATCGACTATAAGGTAGCAGATCTAGGCATTGGGGATGTAAGCACCATATTGGGTCTGCAGCCGGACAGAAGAATTTTGTTGGCAGCCGTGGAATTTGACTCTCTCGTGCAAGAGAAAGGAGAGAAAAAATACACCGATTAGTTTGAATTTGTTGGAATTTGATCTCCGTTGTTGCTGAAAAGTTGGGTCACGAGAGCAGCTACGTTAGTTCAACTTCTGTCAGCCACGGTTTCCCAAAGCTGACATGTGGAGTGCTGGCCCAATGGTTAGACAAAGAGCAGTGTTGCAAAATGAGTTACTTCCTAGAAGAGCTGATTGCTGGTGCTTAACCGGCTGGCTTTCTGCACGATAATAAATAATAGCGTGCATAGCCGTGCAGAGTGGCAACAGGACAATAAAACAATCGGCATGGAAGGAAGATAGCTTTCACCTTGAAGGAAGTTGATACTCCAGTAAGTCAGATGATTGATACCTGTCTCATGCAGACTCTCCAGCTTGTCCTAGCCTGCCTTCTCCACTCTCACTTTCGTGTATTCGTTACCCAGACTCAATTACACTCCAGTACTTCCAATGCAGTGCAAGTGATCAGGGCTACGCTTTTGCTGTTACACATCGCTATACGGAGCAGCCCGTCCCGCACAGCTCAGCTTCCTGTCGAGTCTCCTGGCAGAACCAGCACTTCCAACAGCTCCTTCTAGCCTGGAACCCCAGCAGACTATTCCTTGATGGGCTCCCAGGGTGCTGGGCTGCTTGGTTCATCTTCCCACCGGCTTTTGCACCCGCTGATTTCCAACTCTGATTTCAGGACCCAAGAGCAGCGAGGAAAGAGGGAGGCTTACCATGCCATGTGGAAGTGTGTAAACCAGGACATGAAAGTTCAGGTTTCAGGATAACCTTTAAACTCTGCAACCTGATTGCTCCTTTGTTAACGTGCAGACCTGACGTCAATGCAGGTTTACGCAGCTTTGCTGTCTGCAAAGCACCTGGCTTAGAGTGCTGTGCCAGCACTGCTGATGCCACTCACATAGCACTTTGAATCCTCCAAACTTGCTGAAGAGATTAGTTCAACTAATTGCACCGTGCGTGCGTATTATCCCCGTGCACAGATAGGGAAGCTTAGGCAGAGAGGTGAAAGGAGATTGCCCAGGCCACTGGAGGAGGAGCTGGTGCCGGAGCTGGCAGGGGTTTGCTCATCCCACTACGCCGTTCTGCACCCTCAATATCCCGGGTGCCCGGGGATGGAGTTTTGAAGCAGTCACACATCCAAGATAGCGGGGTGAACTGGAGAACTGCATGGCGTTCCCATCAACATACAGTAAATGATTGGCCTTGGGGCAGAACCCAGCTCCCTCTGGAGTTTAACTCACTCACATACAGACACATCTGAACAGAGGGGTGGAATCCTTGCCCCTTTGAAGCCAGTGGGACTTTTGCCGTTGACTTGGATGGCGCTAGCATTTCACCCAGTGGCTCGAGCCTGGCTCTGAACCGTAGAGGGAAAGGCACCAGCAGCCGGTCTGGAAGGCAGCAAGGGAGCCTGTCGGTCATGGCAAAGCAGTGAAAGGGGTGGGAGGAGGGGAGCCATCCCTCCTCTCTCCTTTTATGGTAAGGAAATCAGGAGCCTCCTTTGAATGTCCTGTTAAAGTGACAGTGCACCAGGCATCCATCTGGACTCTGACTTGCCGTGAAGAAGACTGGACCTCGGGTACGTGCATTGTGCTGCTGCAAAAGAAGTGGAGCGACCCCGCTCTCCATAAGCGAGAAGTGGTCCAGGCCAGCTCCTAGCAGAGGGCTGGTCTTGCAAGAGCAGTTGTTCCTACTCTCCCCCCCCCCCCCCCCCCAAAACGCTATGAGATCTCTCCAGGCAATCAGATTGGCAGGGCCCTGCCTGATAAGAGAGCGTGAACTGTTGCAACTGCTCCGGAGACGGACAAGTTGACAAGTTTCACACCACCCTGGAGCCGTTTCAAAGCACAGTCTTGGACGCCAGCATCACATCCTGGCCAAGGCGTTGGCTGCCCCCTGCAGACCTTTGGCTGGGGCTGTATCTGTCTGGAGCCCAGCCAGTTTAGTATCTTCTCCTAAGGTGCTTTGACGGTGCTGCTCTGGTGTGGGGCTGGGGGATCTCGCGGCCTGTCCGTTTGGAGCTTGCTCTCAGACAGATGGATCCTTTCACTCTTCGCCGAGTGGCCCTCACGCCTATTTTTGGCTATCGCGGGGCAGTTTTAAAGCCAGCGATGTGTTTTCTGTTGATTTAGTCACTTGGCCTTTCTGGAGATTGGAAGCCAAAAGCGTTAATAGGGGTGATGGATGATATAAACGCTGACTTCTCAGCTCTGATTTCAGGGGCTTGACAAATGGCCATAGGAACTTTTCCCAGGATAATGGCTGAGTTTAGTTACCTTTAATGTGGGGTCAATAATCAACGGGCCACATTTCACAGATCTCACAGCTCCCAGGGGAGGAGGAACTGCTTTCCCAAGATTCCCATGCTGCCTCAAGGTGCGTGTGCGCTTGGCCGCTAGTATCTTGGGTTTACAGAGCATCTTCGCCCAGCTTTACGATACCCAGACACCACCAGTGCAATGCAGCTGCCTCTGGCATAGAGCACAGCAGCCAGTCAGGGCGCAGCGCATCACGCCACCCGGCAGTTGGGACGGAGGAGAGCTGGTGTCTCAGGACAAACACCCTCCTCTTGTGGGAAGTGCCATGGGATCTTGAATGTCCACATGACAATATGACTGGGATTTCGTTTTCAAGGATTTTCCCCAAAAATCCCTCACAGTGACGAGCGTGGGGTGCTCCAATTCAGCTGCCCTGGGAGGGTGAACTGATCCGTTTGAGATGTGAAATGGGGAGTCTGGGTGTTTGGACCCTGAGGCTTAGCCCCTTACACCACCCCCTCTGCAATCCGGGGTACGTCTACACTCCATTTCAGGTGTGACTGTAGTGCAGTGGTCGTACCCGTGCTGGCTTTAATCTAGCCAACATGGGTAAGGAGCAGTGAAGACAGCAGCGCGGACCCTGGTGCATGCTTGTAATCTGAATCTGTACCCTGTGTCCCCCAGGCTGCCATGTCTTCACCACTATTGTTACCCACGCTAGCTCAATTAAAGCCAGCACAGGTATGCATACCCAGAGCTCTCTGTCCCACCTTCCCTCGCGGTGCAGACATTGCCCGAGAGTCTCTGTGCTTGGATATATACATAGACTTGCTGCTGATGGATTCTTTTCATCACCGTGTGAGAGGCAGAGGATTACGTCTCCCACTCCTGAGCACACCAAGTGTTAATGAGCCTTTTCGGTATTATCCCTATGAATGGGCCCTTTGCCAGCCATGCATCTCATCCCACTTCTCAGCAAAGCTTTAATAGCAGAGTCAGAGCTGTAGTGAGGTCTGGCACTGCTAAAGCGCCTTCCTTTTACACAGCACAGTGCAGAACCTTGGCTAGATAACTATTTTTTGAACACTTGGCTGCTTAAAATTAAGCAGATGCTTAAATGCTTTATTGAACTGAGGCCTTAAGGTAACATTTCCAGAAGCACCTAAGTCCTGTTTTCAGAAATGACTTGGGGACTTTTCAGGCCTTCTCCGTGCACCCTACACAGCGAGTTACTGCGCAGCAAGCCGGGCTGAGACACGCCGACCCTCGCACTTGCCCTGTGGGAGGGCTTCATGTGGGCAACGAAAGCCTTGAAATGCAGCATGCTGTACTTCTGCTAAGCTACACTCTGGGGCATTCCCTGTGTGCTAGCAGCATCCACAGGATGAGTTAGTGGCAGCAAGCAGGTGCACTGCAGAGCCACACCCTGGCTTGTCATGCGGTAACTCACCGTGCAGGCAAGCCCTAACCAAAGGAAAGGAGCCCCATTTGTTGCTTCCCTTTGCAGGTCTCTGTAAGATCTTGCTGATTTGCAAGGCTGCGTTTGCGTGTGTGAGTTCATGTGTGTGGCAAGCTGATCAGTTCTCTTTCTCCTTGCAGAAAAACCAGTGCCTTTCTCGTCACTTGCAGAGGGACCGAAGCTAAGCGGAGAGCAGACTGCCACGTCGTGCTGGCCCCCCGTGCTGCCATACCAAGTGTCCTCTAGGGATGTGATCAAAACCTCCCCGCAAGCTGAGCCACATGTGTTTCAGTATAACCTGCCAGGTGAGCACAGGCTTGCGTTCTCCTTCAGGGGTCTGCACCAACCTGGCTACGGGGAGCCAGGTTGGTGCAGCCACTGGGGGTGCATGGCCTAAAAGATCCAATGATTCTTGTCTCAGTTACCTCATTTAGTAAATTCATGCAGCCGTTTTCTTCCTGATTGAGAGAGCTGCTGAAAGTTTGCCATTCAAAGGCATCATGCCAGGAGCCTAGCAACCCCATCTGATTTGCCTTGCGTGGTGCAGCCAATGCCATCTATAATACAGAGATGCAGTGTGTGGGAACTACAGATCCCAGAATGCAATGGGAGATGTGCAGGATTAATGGCCGCAGCGCCAAAAAGGCTACAGTTACAACCAGTCAACCTGCAGAATCTCTGTACCTGGTCTCTGTCCCTGTTAGGTATCCCCTGGTCTCCGTCTCTGTCTCTCTGATACAAATAACCAACAGTCCATAATAACATTTATGTTTTGTCAATAGCTCACCCAATCCCATTAAATTTGCACGAGAGCTCTCGGTCTGGGCTACAAAGATTGTCCAACATCTCCAATCCTCCCCCTCTCATCTCTTCCACCAAACACCCATCTGTTCTGGAGCGGCCCATCAGCTCCATTTCCCAGGTAAGATGCCATCCCGGTGCCGCGGTACTCTCACGTATGTGAGGAAAGAGACACCTCTATTGGCAAAGAGCAGGCTTGGCAGAATTAGATTATTGTTTTATAACTTTGATAGATAATATCAATGTTTATTTTTAAGCATTGTTTTCAGTTTTTGTCGATTTAAATGTTCACAGTTGCAGCTAATTATGTAGGGATCAGAAAATTATTTAATGACAGCAGACATTGAGATTCAAAAAGTTAAAACTTTATGACTGTTAAAACACAAATTGTTAGCATCACCGGTCAATAGATACAAAGTAAATATCCTTAAATCAACCTCTAGTAAGTTCTCAAGCAGCCTTTTTCTTCCTTTGCC